TCATCATTGTCCTCTTCTTCTTCTAGAGCGAACTCGCGCTGCTTAACTCCGCGGTTCTTCTCTCCCTCTCTCTTTCTCTCTCTCTCTCTCTCTCTCTTCCTCCGGTCCGTCTGTCTACCTCCCCTTTTTCCGTCTCTCACACACTCTCGCTTCTCTCTTCTCGCGTAAGAGAGGCGTAAGAGGAGAGAAGGGGCAAAGACGCTTTTAGACACGGAGCGTCCACGAGCGTCGCGACGCCTTGAGAAGCAGTAGTCGCGTACCTTAGGCAGCTTCCACCTTGCCGGCTCGCGGCCGTACGTAACGTGATTCTCCTCGACGCAGCATCCACGGACTGTCGCGAACACCGTGTCGCGCTTGTTTCGCCTCGTACTCGCGCGCGGAAACCTCCTCGCCCCCTGGACACACCACCGGGGAACACGAAGAGGACGCTTAAGGAACGGGGACGATCACGCAGGAGCAGTGGTTCTCAATTGGAGAACATCGGTGGTTCGGTTTTTGTTTCGTCGATCGATCTATCTATCTATCTATCTCCGATACTATTCTTCACCGAAGTTAAATTTGGGTCGAGCTTTTGTTATATCTCCCTCTCTCTCTCTCACTCTCTGTGTGTTTGCGTGTGTGTGTGTGGATTCGGGAGAACGACAGTTAGTTCCCTTTTCTTTTTTTCTTCACTTTCGAATGATTCCTCGAGGTCGACGGTGGTTGCGATATAAAAGACAGAGAGACACTGTGTGTCGCTGTGTTTCGGTGGATGTTGAAAATCGTGATCGAAGAAGAAGGTGTAAAGAGGGCAGTGATTGGCTGAATTTCCGTTCGGATCTGCGTAGTCTAAATTAATCTGGAGCCCGTTGTTGTTGAAGTTCCGAACGCGGGCCTGCTGCTGCTGCTGCTGCTAGCCGGTGTAAAAAGAGCGTAAAGTTTCGTGTACGTGGAATAAAAATAAGCGTGATACGGGGAAGAACCGAGAGAGTTGGATCAGTTTCTGCTCTCGCAGGGTTACGTGTTTTTCGGGGCTGGAAACAACCGGTAATATCCTACTCGACGAACAAGTGGCCATACGGTTCTCTTGGCTTTTACGTTTCAAGAAAATACAGACGGAAATTTCTTACGTTCTTTTTCTCCCACCACCCTCTATCTAATATCGAAACCGGGGGACGACACCTTTTTTGTATCATTCCGTTCACTCTGTAATACATTGTACATCCTCTGGCCTCCTTTATAATCGAGCAACACTGTCGGCCGAAATTCGTCGAAATCGTCCGCTCAGCTTTCCCACGACGACGACGACGACGTCGTTCCTCCTCGAAACTGCGTCATTCATCGATCAGCCAGAAAGTTCGGCGTAATTTTTCACCGTTGCCGGCGCTCAGCTCCTCTCCACGCTGACAGATCCGACAGTGTCTCCAAGTGCAGTGTGCGTTCGTTCCGGCCTCTGATCGAATGTGCCGAGATAGAAAAGCGAGCGTAAGTGACGTCGACGAGTGAATGCCGCGCGTTTCTTCGGTAATGATACAGTGCGTTCTGTAGCGTGTGGACGACTGTCCGGGTCGTTGTCGGTCGGTGATCGTGTTCAAACAGTAAAAACAATTCCGCGAAAGTGGTTCGCGTGGCGAAGAAGGAGAAGGACGCGACGATGGCGGAGCGTCCCGGGGGTAGGAGACGTTCGCGTCGCGACAGCATGGAGACAGGGGGTTCTTTGCGTGGTACGCCGCCAACATCGAAGGATCGAAGGACTAAACGATCGAGCAAACCGTCCAAGGAGCGATGGTTGCTCACGAGAAAGACGTGGCGTTACATGGCCGACGCCGGTAGACGTTTGATACCCGATGGAACGCACAACAGACCGGAGGATATTCCAAAGATAGAGCAGTATTTTCAGGAAGTGTGTCAGAAGGAGCCTAGATTTCTGCTGTGGAGGAAAGCCTCGTACCCGGGTACCTTGGGTTTCCGATCGCAGAGGCGTAGAAGACAGGTGAAAGGTGGCAGTTGTCGAACGAAAGCTAGCTCGGCCGACGAAGCTGACGACGTCAGAGGTCCACCTAGAAGTTTCATCCTTCAACCCCCCCCCGCCGGTAAATTTGACCTGGCCAAGGCTAAGAGAGAGTGGCTACTAGCGACAAAAGGTGGTAGTACACCGTCGAGTCCCGTGGAGCACAGAAAGTTTCAACAGGAGGACGCGGAAACTAAAGCATTGGCCGACATGCTGCAAAAGTACCTGAACATGCAGAGTGACGTCGCTGGTACGACGAAATCGAAGGGTAGATCGGATTTTTCCGGTCAAACGGAGGGCAAAGAGCTGTTCGACTATCAGAGTCTCATCGACAAGCTCCAGCAACATCTAGATCTGATGGTTGCTCAGTCGAAGCTGGAGGAACTGTCTGTTCAACGAGGATCCACGGATAACAAGGACAGAGACAAGGTTCCGAAGTCCATGCAACCGTATCAAGGAGATTACGTGCACAAATCGCTGATGGACACGATAGGTCGGTACTACAGCAAATCTGGTACCAGGGAACACGTGATCTCCTCTATTCTAACCGATCGAAAGCTCTTGGAGAAGTTGTACTTCGACCTGAGGTGCACCAGAGGTTTCAGAGGGCCACGTGCGACTGGCGCCTACACGTCGCCGTCGACACGTTGGTGGACCCACCAGCGCAACAGAGGACCGTCGAAGGAATCCGAAGACTGGCTCTCTGTCAGAAGGGACGCCATCTCCCCGCCGCCTCTGATAGCCGTCCAAGAGCCCAGCACCGATCGCGGTCCAATTGACGACGGTGTCCAAACGGATCCTGTACCTCGCGAGGTGATCGACGCGATTTTGTTGGAACGAGAGAAGGAGGAATCGTCGGAGGAGCCATCGGTGCATAAAACGAGCAGCGGCAGCGGCGGTCGTAGACGAAGCAGCGTCGACAACGATGACGTTTCACCGTCTGTCAGCGACACGATCAAGAGGTATCTACGAATGGCCAGAAAGAAGTCCATGGACGCCGACAAAGTGGACAGGTTCAAGCGGGTGAACTACGACAGAAACCTGAGGAACATCAAGGCTAAAGGAGAGATCACGAAGTTGAGCGACGACGATGGGAATAACAAAGGATGTCAGACCGACGACAATTGGGCGGTTAATTACAGAGAGATGTCCTCGACGGAGAATCCATCGGAGAATCTGTCAGATGCGGACACTACGACATCGCCGCCGAGTAGAAACGCGAGCTCAAGGAGCAGCATCGATGCTGGCCTTGGCTCGGAAGAACCACTGACCCCTAAGCATCACCATCATCAGTCCTTCCTATCCCATCTCCTACACGGTTCCAACGCGCACAAGGATAAGCCTCACTCGGCACCCGGTTCACCGGCACTCACGTCATCGTCCACCAATTCCGCAGGTGGCACAGCGATGCAGAAGAGCAAGTCCTCGAGCAGCGTGGTGCATCACGGCAGCCGACTGGTGGCCAAGAAGATATGGAGGTCCAGGAGCAAGAGCACCTCGAGGGCGACCAATCAACCCTCGGTATGGACGCCGCAGGTGAGTCTCTCTCGTTTGAGCTTTTCACGTTGCTCAACTGTTGCTTCGTTTGTTTTTCTTCTTTTTTAACGTTCACTGCCACGCCAGATTTAGGTGTTGCTCTCAGGGGGCCGCAAGAAAATTTGTATTATTCTAAGTATTATTATTCCTTTTTTTAAATTCAAAGTAACGTCTAGTTAGCTACGACGTTCAAAATTTTTAGTCGACGATATTCATTTTAATTTAATTATTCTGAATATTTGAGGCATTCTGGTATTTTAAAAAAATTCAAAATAATGTTTAGTTAGCTATGACGTTCAAAATTTTTAGTCGACGATATTCATTTTATTTTAATTATTCGAGGCACTCCGGTCACAGGTGACCAACGTGGCAGTCAACGTGTTACCATGTTTATTGTTGTGTGAAATTTGAGATTTTTGGTGATTCGAGGAGTTTACAATGGGAATTAAAAATTCGAACGTGACGTTCTTCTCGTTTTATTCAACACGGAGTCAGAGAGTTTAGTGTAAATTGTGTTATCGTTGATGTGTAGTTCAGGTATCGCTTCTGACACTTCGGAGAAAGTATAGTTTTTTGGATAAAACGATGAAATAAGACGTTGAGTTATTTTCGTCGTATGATTGTCGATAATGTGGGTTAGAAGCTTTTTCGAGAATGAAGAATTTCTCGTTGCACATTCCGATGTACATTATTTGTGTATTGTAAACGAAGCATAAACGATGCTCCCGCGCGCTATACATAGAGTTTTGTCTTGCCAAAACATGTCTACGAATAATTTGCTTAAACCACCTGTCGCCGCATAGCGGAGAGTGTCCACCTCGTTATAAGAAAGAAAACGAATTAACGATGCTGCTATTAACATCTGGCGCGAAAATAGAGCGTCACTATTATTAACAATACTACTCGCCTGCCTTGCTTTCTTAATAGCACTTGTAAATTAATTTTACTCACCACCGCGCTCGACACAATCCCCGGCAAGTTCACGCGTAAAACGTCCAAAGCTTCTTCCCCCTTTTATTTACACTTCTTCCGGGAAAGAATTCAAGGCGAACAATTCTGCGACTCTGTAATTTCTTCCATCCATGTTTCTACGTAATTGTAGTACTTCTCCAGTACTCTACGTTCATTTTCTTCTCTACTTCTACTTCTCGTGTCTTACATCGCACGATATTACAATTGCGACGAAGCGAAGAAGAGTCTTGCGATCTCTGTCGAACTCAGCTTTCTCTCCCTTGACTTCTACGTACTTACTTTGGTCTTTTTTTCTTTTTTTTCTTTTTTGATAGCTATCGTTAGTAGCCTCTTCCTTTCCCTTTTTTTTAAATTTCATATATTTTATCAATCTCCTTATTTACAATTTTCAGTTGCAATAAATTTTACTTCTTTTCATTTTCACGATATTTATCGTTACTAGAGTCTTCTTTTCTCTTTTTTGGGATTTCGTATATTATAATCTCGCGTTTTCCAAATTTTATTAAGGTAAATCTCTCTACTTACAATTTCCAGTTACAATAATGTCACTTCTTTTCATTTTCACGATATTTATCGTTACTAGAGTCTTCTTTTCTCTTTTTTGGGATTTCGTATATTCTAATCTCTCGTTCTCCAATTTTTATTAAGGTAAATCTCTCTACTTACAATTTCCAGTTACAATAATGTCACTTCTTTTCATTTTCACGATATTTATCGTTACTAGAGTCTTCTTTTCTCTTTTTTGGGATTTCGTATATTCTAATCTCTCGTTCTCCAATTTTTATTAAGGTAAATCTCTCTACTTACAATTTCCAGTTACAATAATGTCACTTCTTTTCATTTTCACGATATTTATCGGTACTAGCCTCTTCCTTTACCTTTTGTGGGATTTCATATATTCTTATCTCTCGTTCTCCAATTTTTATTAAGGTAAATCTCTCTACTTACAATTTCCAGTTACAATAATGTCACTTCTTTTCATTTTCACGATATTTATCGGTACTAGCCTCTTCCTTTACCTTTTGTGGGATTTCGTATATTATAATCTCGCGTTTTCCAATTTTTATTAAACTCAATCTCCCCGCTTACAATTTTCATTTACCATAAATTTCACTACTTTTCATTTTCACGGTATCTATCGTTATTAGCCCCTTCCATTCCCTTTTCTTCAAATTTCATACATTCTAATCTCACGTTCTTCAATTCCTATTAACTTCAATCTCCCAACTTCCAGTTTTCACTTACAATTGTCAACCCTCCACGTAAACACGATCACTCATTTTTCAATCTCACCCTGTCCCCTTTCTCAATTCCCACCCAAAACGTCCCTTCTCACCCAATTGCCATCAGTAAAGATCATCATTTTCCCCAAAATCTTCACACGCACCTTACCCTCCTTTCTCGCCGTCTATTTTCACCTAGTAAACCTCTTCATCTCTCGTTCCGCGTCTCTCCTCGACGATCTCCTCTTCGACGTCTCGTCTATTTTTCTTCACCGTCCGCTCGGCCACCGTTTAATATCCCCGCGTGTGTGACCGAGTATTCGGAGGATGTGAAAGAGGAAAAAGAGGAGGCGTAAGAAGAAGAAGGTCGACCTTGCGGCAGGCGATCTCGTTAAGCGGTAAGCGCGATAACCAATTTAGGGCCTCGGAATTTCGCCGGCGCCGCCAGAAATAGTCAGCGAACGGTGGTGTGTATAAACTATACTTAACCCCTGCTACTACTACTACGTGGTCTCTGCTTAAGGGGGTATTCTGGTCTAGCGCGCGAGTTTCATTGCCATCTTTCAGAATTTTTTATGGATAATCAAAGTAAATGTAGTACACGAAATTTTTTCTAATAACTTAATCGACCTTTTAGCAATATTTATATATATTTTTTTAGCGTGAAGCAATAAGTGTAAGATGTCTGTATGAAGGCATGAAAATTGCGTGTACGTCTAATGGGTTGCCATGATTCCGTCCTTCGTAGACGTCAGAAACAGATAATTCAAAGAAAATTTTGTTTAGTAAGGACGTGGCTATCGTCTGAACCAAAATCATATGTTAAAATTAATTTTTAGCAAAATGTCGCCATGTTAAATAGAAAAGTCCCTTCAGTGGTGAGATTAATTTGTTAATTACAATGGCAATTTTGCAAATATCTTTACAATTTTGGTTCAGACGATAATCACGACATTTTGGAATATCCACGCAAAATTTCATTAACATCGGGCACACCGTTATTGAGATATCCTGGCAACCATTTCGCAAAACATGGTTTCGAGAAAATCGCTTTTAAAGTTTCAGTTTAAGTTTCGATACTGCGATACTGCAATCAATAATATCTGCACTGTACAGCGATCCTTCCTCTTCTTCATAAAATTCTAATTGAGTCGATTGTTCATATTTACAAGCAATTCCGAACCTTTTTTATTGCATCTGACTTGCGCTGCTTAGATCTGTTTCGAGGTATCTTAGCTTCGTTGCTGATAAATTTCTTTGTTCTGGGGACAATTTTCATTCCCATAGTGGCATTCATTTCTAAAAGAAAGCTAATTAAAAATATGCAAACAGTCAGAAATGTTGCAATTTGAATTGTTGTCGTTGATTTGTGCTTCGGAACAAAATTCCATATTAGAGAATTGAGACTACTATTTTTCGTGTTAGCTCTCACACATTTAAGGTCAAATGTTTATAAATCAGCTTTATTATTAGCAAGACTTGTTCATCTAGAGGCAATTTGTCGCGAGTTTCTTAACTTATCTGGCGCGGTAGCTATTCAGCTAGCGCGATAATCTGCGCACAGTTTCTTTTAAACCTCTATAACTTCGTTTTTTTTTTTTTTTTGAATTTCAAAAAAACACTTGGGGAATATATTTTTAAGACTACAAACATTCGAAAAATATAAAAATCGCAAAGTCGATTTTTTGACACTTCTAGACCAGAATACCCTCTTAAGCACACGAGCGTTCGCCCTCCACTACTGCCTCGCCTCGCGCCTCAGCTTGAAGTTACACACGCGACCGCACGCGTTATCCACAATGCCGCCCATTCCGGCATGGAGAATTTCGAATTCTCGTGGATAAAATCGGAGGCTTCGCCGTGTTTCTTCCAGGCTCACAGCTGTCACAAAGCTTGTTTTGTTACTTTGCGACAGCACGATGGAGAACTTGGAGATATATGTTAGATGTATGTGTGTGTAATGTCTATGTACAGAGTGTCTCGTAACGTTGGGACCACCCGGAAATGGGGGGTTGCTGGGGTGACCCTGAACAACTTTTTCCTTATCCAAAATGTAGTTTGAAGCTTCGTTTTCGAGTTATTAACGAAAAACACTGGCCAATCACGTATATATACAGGGCGGGCCATGTAAAACAGGTCAATTATCTTGTGTAGATATGGCAGTGCTGGATGATTTTTATAGGTAATTTCAATGGTTTGAATATGATGGAAGAAATGGCGGAAAATGAAGGGAAGTTTCATGTTTGATTTCAAATTTTAGGGTTCGGTTGTCATTTTAAGGTTATATTATTACGTATGTTACAGGATACAGTAAAAAGATATTTATATTCGTGTAAAGAAATATGGGTGATCTTGAGAAAAACAGAAGAAAGTGGCATTTGCAAAAAACAATTTCTTTTCCATGTTATTCAGTATTTAGTTTGAAACTATTTAAATTACTTATAGAAATTTTCTCGTACCACCATAGCTAGGGAAGATAATTAGGTGGCTTGTTTGTATAATATATTTATAGTACTAGAATTGAGTGGTTGAAAAGAAGGAAAAAATTTTACTGCACTTTATTTTCAGAAAATTATAAAAATTGTTTTGCAGTTAAATTAATGATTAAAATGAACAACTTTCTGTTATGAAATTATGCCTGAAAACCAGAGTAACTAAATTGACGAAGAATTGAAAATAAATAATCAATTTATATTTAAATTTTCTGTAATAACGTAAATAAAGAATGATGTCAGTTTTTTTCGATTTTCTGAACGTAAGAACCGGAGGAATCTTTTCCTTGTTATTCTCACCGATTCAATTATT